ACCCATTTAAAGCTGATATTATTATCATGAAAGAATATTTATATGGGTTTACTGCTTTATTACTACACCTCTTTCATTGTACTTAAGTATTAGTATTTTTTCTTTTTGTTTCAATTATTAGTTAATAGCCATTTTTTTTTATTATTTTAATTAAGCTTAGAAACCACATTTTAATTTCAAATGTTACGTAGTTCATTCATACGCCGTTTCAATGTTCCAGGGAGTAAAACAGCGATTCAAGTTCTGGGGAATACCGCTGGTCACCATGTTCCAAAGAGACCTGAATTAAAAATCAGGTACTACACTGAAATGGCTTATGAAGGTCTTCGGCATGTATATCATGGGTTTCGATTATTATTTATTAATATTCGTCTTGCATGGAAATACCATCGTCAATTAAAAAAAGGTCTCGCTCTTACAAGACGCGAGCGCATACTTCTCGAGGACTCGACAAAAGATCTTTTAAGGTTGGTACCATTTAGCTTTTTTATAGTTGTTCCATTTGCCGAGTTACTTCTTCCCGTAGCGTTGAAGATGTTCCCAGGCTTAATTCCTTCAACTTTTGAAACCGAATCGCAAGGCCGCAATCGAGGGTTCCGAGATTCTATGAAGACGTTGCGCGCGCGCCAACGTGTGATGGATTATGTTTCCTCAACCGCCTTAACCACGTTCAATCCGGAGGAGCAAGAGGTGATTCGACGTAGTGCTTTAGGGGACACTGTGACCCTAAAGGATATCCGCCTCATCGGGCATTATTTCGACCGTGATGGTCCATTTAGCGTTTATAAAGTTCCTGATCATATTGCCATGGGTCTTGGCCGCATTTGCAACGTTTTTAAATGGTATCATTCCTTATTCCCTGCCGCTTTAGTTGCACCCTTAATTCGTCGTCGCGTTATTCGGCATTACCAGAGGATACGCGAGGATGACAGGATGCTTCGATTAGAAGGCTTAGATCTTCTCAACATGGAAGAGTTGATCAAGGCGAACAAAACTCGCGGGATGCGGTGGACGGAAACCAAGGATACCCTCCTAGTCCAACTGGAATGGTGGGTCGCTGTTGCATATGATCCCAATGTGCCGTTCAATACCCTTTTTTGGATTAAACCAACTCGTTATAACTTGCGTAAGTCTATGAATAGCCTTCCCGTTGAACAGCGGCGGCAGCTGCTTGGGATTCAGAACCTTCCCGAGAGTTTTCGATCGAGTTTAGAGGCCATCTGCGCTACCGTCGATACAGTTACGAAGATTGAGGGGGAGCGTGAAAGTGCAGATAAAATTGTGCAAAGGATTGTGGAGATAATGGACTCGGCGAACCAGACTGGGATTGATATGTCCTTGAAAGACATTCAAGCCGCGGTCGGTGCTTATTTAACCGAAGAAAATATCGTGACAATGTTTGTTAAGTTGAAGGAACACAAGCTTGAGGAGGAGCTTGTTTTGGTTTCGGACGTCATTGAATGGGTTGGACATGAGACACATAATTCCAGCCATGTGGTCTCTACACTTTTTGACGCCTTTGATTACGGTGCAGGTTCAAAACCAATAACCCAAGAGGTCCTAGTTGGTATCGGGGCGCGTTGCAGAGAGGCGACACAGAAAAACCAGTTGCCGAGGCCACTAAAGGATAAATCAGCGAAGGAATAAAATTCTGTGGAAGCTCTTATTGGGCGATGGGAAGGGGATCATTTTGAGTAATATGAATACAACCTGGTTGCCATGATTTCGCTAGTGTTTCGTATAGCATTTTTATTTTTGAGTGTTTAAGAGAGGTGAGTTATAGGATTTATACATAATAGGGTAAGCTATACAACCTTCTATTGGGTTTAGTACTTAAGATCAGTACTAAAAGCGAAACACTACATTTAAGTTAATAACCTTGATTTTATATTCTTGTAATATGCCAACATGAACAACGAATTCGACCCTGAACTCTGCTTTTCATAAGGCAGTTCTAAAAAAAGAGAAACATACAGCCCATCTCTTCACATTTATTCCAACATGTACAAAAATGATCGACAATAGAGCAACGCTGAGAGTTAGAAGACGGAACCAAGGGTCACTACTTGTCTCTGTTTTTTTTCTTTAAAATGCCTTTATATCAGCGCTAATTGATGACACTGTCTGCATTTCTGTTTAATATAAGCATGCACAATGGGAGAAAATTGTCGCGTTTAAAACATAGCTTTTTATTCCTCCTTCTCACTATTTACATCGATGTTGATATTGTAAATATTTAGTAAATTAAAATGAATAGAGGGCACGGTTACATATTTATCGTTATCCAATCGTGATACTGTGACGTAGTATTTTATCCTCTTTTTTTTGCAGTATCGTTTATTATCACTTTCACCACGCATAAAATTATATATCCTTCTACGATTATCATAGTAAATATAATTTATGTGCGCCCAGAACATGAAAGACATTATAAAATTCATTGGTGCAATAAACGTGTAAAAGGTGTAAATAATCGTCATTAATCTATGACGGATAAGCGAGGGAATATTGTCCATGGGCTTTAGGATTTTAAAATAGTTGACTATTAATGAAAGTCCATTTCTTCAAAATGTCTAGGTCATTCTTTCACTAGACAAAAGCTTTTGCATGCGACAAAAACAGTTTGATACCCCTTTCAAATGCGGGTATTGGAATTTACTAGGCCACTTCCATCCTTTAATATAGCTTCAATCACCATTTCCAAAGAAATTTTTCCATTTATTCACTCTGCTCGATTTACCTTACGGTGATGTTTCTTTGGAAGTGGAGCAAGTTGAAAAATATCATTGTGAAATATTTATCCACCTCTTCTGTGGCTCTGGTAACCTAATTATCTAGTTTTCTTGATTATTTTGCTATGATCCTCCGGTATTAAAATTATGGACACTAATTTCTTCTGTCCCACATTTTTTATGTGATTGACATTCTTTTCATCAAATTTCATAAGTTCTGATTATTATTATTCTGTGGTGTTCATTTTTTTGTAGAATGCCATGCCGCTCCTGGATTGGACAAACAATGGGTGCAATGAAGTCCCATCGATAGATTATGATGCAGCGGACGTTTCTTTGATCGAAAAAGGTGCTACAATTTCACAACTTGTTCATGGATGTCGTTCTGGCCACTCTGGTCTGGTTAATTTGGAAAAGGGAGGCCCTACGCTTATCCATCATGCACCTTTGAACGCAAATTTTCAATTATCTACAGCTAAACGCAACGAAACCACGCGTGATTTTTTAGGGGAAGGCCGATTAAATTTGACTTTACGCATTCCCAAAACGCGAAGAGATGCCTCCACACAGACTTTTCCATACCAAGAAAATCCTTCTGAAATTTCTTTTCTTCACACCGATTATGATTGTCTTGAAGCGCAGAAAAAGGCCTTTGTGGCTCAGCTATGTGAGCTCTACACGCTACTTCATCTTGTGTTCGCGTAGACCGTGCCTAATGTCTGTCTGTCGATAGGTTCCATTATGCTTTAATCATCCACTTGTGATGTATAATGCCCTCCCTCTTTTTTATTATTTCACACTAACTAGAGCTCTTGATTATGGATACAATATATACGTTTTTTTTCTTACTGCTAAATAGATCAACCCACTAAATGAAGATGGAGAAAGAGTATACAGGGCCAACAGAGAAAAGAAAGCGAAGCTGATGCATCATGGAAGAAATGTACTTTAGGAACTGATGGCTTCACCTCCGTCCTTTCGTTTAATGGGTATGATGCAATTTTTCATTTTGCCTATCGATTTCAACTGTGGCTAGACTACTCTAACTAAATTAATGAATTATGTAAGTTTTCTACTTCCCACCACTCTGAGGCTCTTTTTCTCTTCCTTAATGTATTTCATTTCGAATATAGAACAACTTTTTTATTATTTTGTGCTAAACAAATACGCCAAATTAAACGAAAATACGTGATGCAATCTGTTTCTCTCAACCATATTTGTGGACCAGATGCCGACTTGAGGTACGACTTGGTTACTCCACGGAACATTTTTAAGCAACGCACACCGAAAGTTGACCGCGGCGATCCACTCCAGAAGGCTGAAGAAATTCGAAACTATGTACACAACACCTTTGAGCTTTTTGAGAAGATTTTTGACAGCCTTGCGTATGAGGAATCCTTCAAGGTCGAGCCGGTTCACAAGTTACGCCATCCTCTTCTCTTCTACTATGGCCATACCGCCTGTTTCTACATCAACAAGCTCTGTGTGTCTGGTTTGTCCGCCCATATCAACCCCCGATTTGAGGAAATGTTCGCCGTCGGGATTGACGAGATGAGCTGGGATGATTTGAACACCGCGCATTACAACTGGCCGAGTGTGATGGAAGTTCGCGACTACCGTCTGAAGGTGCGGGATCACCTGGATGAGTTAATGCGAACTGGGCGCTTCCTCCTGAGATTCCCGCTGACTTTTTCGAACAGCGTCGCGGATGCCTCGAGGGCGTTTTGGTGGGTGATGCTCATGGGGGCCGAGCATGAGCGGATTCACATCGAAACAGCAAGCGTGCACGTGCGGGAACTTCCCATCGGCTTTATTAATCCATCCGGCGGCTTATGTTGGCGTCGATGCTCCCACGGCGGAGGGGAGGCTCCCGCGAATGAGTTGGTCCCGATTGCCCACGGGCGCGTGCAGTTTGGTCGCCCGCCGTCCTCCGCGATCTATGGGTGGGATCAGGACTATTCCGAAGGCTCGAACTGGGTCGAAGTGGCTGCGTTTAAAGCCAGCAAATATCTCGTATCCAACGCAGAGTTTTTTCAATTTATGCAGGCCGACGGCTACACCATCCAACGATATTGGGATGACGAAGGTTGGAAATGGGTGCAATGGAAGAAGCCGACCCACCCGTGGTTTTGGATGCGCGATTCGAAACGCCCGGACGGGTATGCGCTTCGCCTGCAGACGGAATTGATCGATTTACCCTGGGATTGGCCCTGCGAGCTGAATCATTTGGAGGCCTCCGCGTTTTGTAATTTCATGAGCGAAAAGATGGGCCGAAAAGTGCGCCTGCCGACGGAGGAAGAGTGGACCTTGCTTTACGATCGTTATATTCAACGGGACCAGACGGAATGGGGCAAGGTCTTGGCCCCCGGCAACCTCAACCTCGAGCATTACCAAAGCAGCTGCCCTGTCAACCTCTTCCAACATGGCGATTTATTTGATGTGATAGGCAATGTTTGGCAGCACTGTGGGACACCCGTTTACCCACTCAAAGGGTACAAGGTCCATCCTTTTTACGATGATTTTTCCCTTCCCACCTTTGACGGCCTTCATGCGAGCATGAAAGGCGGGACATGGGTGACCACCGGCAATGCGGCCACCCGGGATGCCCGCTTTGCCTTTCGTCGACATTTTTTTCAATACATCGGGGTACGCTACGTCGAGGGCGTTAAGGTCGATTGGTCAAAGTATCTTTACACGCCCCTTGGTTTGGATCCGGAGGTGGATATCATGACCGACGCGTGTTATCGGGATTCTTTCATTGGAATCCCGAACGGCTGCGTGCGGATCGCCGAGTTCGCCCTTGATTCTTTCCGAAAGTACGCCAAAGTTTCGCCCATTCGTGCGATGGACTTGGCCTGTGGTTCGGGCCGTGTGTCGTTTGAACTCACCCCAACTTTTTCGGAGGTGATTGGGGTGGATCGCAGTGCTCGTTGTCTCATCCCCGCTTTTGCGATTTCCGAAAGAGGCAAATGCCTATACAGCGTGTCGGACCCGATTTCAGGCAAAAAGCAGGGGCTTGAGGTTGAGGGCGACGCCTATCGATGGGGCCCGACTCGTGGACGGGCCACTTTTTTTCAAGCCGATTTTACCGAACTTCACACCCATCTGGATGATTTTTCTCTTATTGTTTGTTATAACTGTCTGGAGGAAAGTTACCATCCATCGGCGATCCCAAGCCATCTTCTCAGTCGCTTGCAAAAGGGTGGAATCCTAGTGATTGGCGGAGATTATAATTGGAGCCATATTAAGCATTCTCTCTCCGGTGAGAAGGAAAATGGTGAGGCCTCTATTTCCGATCCATTGGTAAATTACACAGGCAATAAGCAAGAAAAAATTTATGAGCTTTTGGGTGGCTCCGCGGCTGTTGATCGTGTGAGTGAGGCAATCAGTATCCCTGTTGTTTTTCCTAAAAATGATAGCATGGCTGAAGTTCGGATATTCCACCTCAATGTTTATTTAAAGAAATGAATCGATATGCACATATTGAATTCCGTAGATCATCTATGGAGTAATTTTAGCAATAATGCTGCCTACAGGGATCCATTCCTCATAATGACTTTGATTGACGATCGACCGTACAATTGCATGGCACCAACAATCAAGGGATAGTTATACGATGAGGTGTGATTGCTGTTCCGGTGAAAGGGTTCTTTCCTTGACCACCCTATTTTAACCAACGTTTTTCAACTAAAGAAGCAAATAACATATGCGCATCCATACTCATTTTTTGGCTATGAGCATAGGATTCTGGTAGTACACTAGGATCATCTACTTTATCAGTAAGTGTGTTCTATTTTAAGTATATATATATATATATATATATATGTATTTCCAGAATTCATTTAATTTAAAACGTTATAAGGGTATCAGAGTCACTCTTTGCTTGTACCTCATTCAGTGTAATTTTATTTGGGGAAGGCATAATTGAAAGCCTTGTGTGTATTAGTCTGCCCAGGTTAGCAGTGACTCTTCTTGAAAAGGAACAAATTGTGGATACTCTGGGTTTCCAAAAGAAATATGTGCTAATCTTTAAGATTACACAGAGATGTACCGTAGCGATCTCTGATTAGGGAGCAATTTTAAAAACAATGCTAATTAACGAATAGAAGTAAAATATAGGAGGATATATATATATATATTATATTTATATGCCATTTTTTTAATTTTCACTTTTATAAATATATAAAGTTTTATCGAGCTTTGATAGCATTCTGTATTGTAAACTGTGATTCGACTCTTATAAAGTGTAAAGTAGATCTTATTAGCTAATTTATTTATTTATAGTTTTTTTTTGTAAATATTTTACTCATGAAATATCTTAATTTTACAACTATTTGCTTGCAATTTGATCTGAAATATTAGGTCGATTGTTTTCACTAACCTCGGTATTACTGAGATCGTTAATTGGAGTAAAATAGATACTCAAAGTTCCAACTTTCCAACCTGAAAATTTCAGACATGTATATTTTCTCCTTCCAACATCGAATTGAGTGATTTTTTACACCATTTCCTTGTTGTTTGAAGAGTAGAGTACTTTATAAACCATGATAGTTTGGGTTTGATTGCAGGAGTAGGAACTTGTGTAATATCCGTCATAAGTGTTTGGTTTTATTCGCTCCATTTTTAACATAGTTTTGAAGGATTTGTCGATCGCTTTGTCCGAAGGTTGATATCGATTTATCTATTTCTATATATACATATATATATATATAGTCATATAAATAAATATATTTATATATATAATATAGTAAAGTAACAGAAAATAGCGTGCGCTTTCAGATGCGGATCTTCGGCGGTGTCACCTCGAAGGCTCCGTTCGTGTCATCTTCGACGTTGTGGGTGCCACACTCGCGAAGGGGGCTGCTCGTGAGCGGGGGAGGGGGGCGGATCCATGCTCAACGTGCTCTTCTTCACCATGAGGGGGAAAAGGCTGCGGGGCCGCCTCCCCTGACGATCACGGCTGACCCTTCCCCCCCTCGCCCTCCCTTTTACACCCCACCGGCCCAACGCGACCCGGCAGACAAATCCATTGTCTTTTTAAAGACCCAAATCTCTTGCCAACCCTCCCCAATGACGACTCCTGTGGCGTCGGATTGGGTAGAATCGGCGGACTCCCCGCCAACCTTGGGGCCGGGCCAGCAGTACGCCCCCCAACATCGCGAGCAGCCGAGGCCCACTGCGCGGTATGTGGATTCCGATGCGGCTCGTGTGCAGAGCACCAGCGTCCATGCGGGGCGGCCAATCATGCAGGAAACCTCATCAGTCGGGATGGGCGTGTATTATGGGTTGCGAAGCGAATCGCTTCGCAAACCCGTCCCGCGCAGCTCGCTCGATCCACCTCAACCCGCGTCCATCGACGAGGCTTTGCATCTCGACGAAGAACGGCGTCTTTCAGGTGAATCACGCGAGCGTCTCGAGTCTATTTTTTTGCCCAAACATGACGCCCTAAGCCCGAGTAATGCTTCTGGAGTGAGCCCGCAAGGCTCTTCCACGACCGATAAGCTTTCTTTCGAGAAGCAATTGAAGCTCGATGTGAAGCAGTTAGAGTACTACCATGGCACGGCAAAGTATCCAGAACTCTTGAACAAATTTAGGGATAAGTATCAAAATTACAACTCCAATCAATTTCAAGGGAAGTCAATGCCCACCAAGGCTAATGATAGTCGTGAAACGAAGGAGCCGGTCGATTACCAGCACCTTAGTGAAAAACTTAAAGCGCAGCTTTACACCGGCCCTCATTCGTACCACCCAATTTCTCTAATGGAACAGCATGGCGTGTTTCGCTTTCAGGGCTATGCCTTTCCGCCTTCTCTCGAGCTTGGTAATCTGAAGAGCGAACTCGACCTTACAAAGCTCCACGCCTCTTATCAATCGAAGGGGGTCTTGGCATTGTTGCGCCGCTCGTTTAATGCGTTGGTGGGTCTCCCGGATACGAGGGATGCGTACCTCGCGACCTATGACCGTGCAAAGGAGGACAAGCACATCATTTATCGCACTTTGGGGCTTGATGCGGTTCAGCGCCGGCAGATGCGGTTTATGCTCTCGGACTTTGACCACGCTGACCGTCATACCTCGTTCCACGTGATGATGACCTACCCTTATGCGGATTGGTTGCATGTTTTTTTTATGGTTTTTGTTGGTTGGTGCTTGTACAAATTACAATTGCACCTTAACGCATACGATTTCTACGACGAATACCTTGGTCTGGATCTTCGACAGGTCCCTAGTTTGAAAAAGCCCTTTCTGGTTATCATGACAACAGTTGTCATGGTTTTTTTCTTTTCCAGCCGCTCATGTTGGCAAGCATTGCCACAAATCGAGCTTATCGAATTTTTATGAGGCGACCC